TGGCCCAGGATCGGCCCGTCGTTCCACGAAACGGCCGATCGTTCAAGTTTTGAGTCGGACCTGTCCCCCTACAGGGGGCTTTTCGACGAAAAATAGAAAACATACCCCGAAAATAGTCAAGAAATAGTCCAAAATAGTCGGGGGACTATTTTTTTTTTTAGTATTTTCTGACCTTTTGGGGGCATTTTTTTGTTTTTTTTGGGGGGGGGGTGTTTTCGTCGAAATTCCCCGTGTAGGGGGACACGCCCGACATAATTCAAGTTGGAACGATCCCCGCGGTGCCAGGAGCCAGCGCCAGGGTCGACACGACGAGAGCTCGTCGTGCGCTTCTTCATCCGATCTCGTGCGCCCGCGTGGACGGGCCGCCAGCTCTCTGCCGTCGCGCTCGCGTTCCCCGTCTCCGTGGAGTGAGGGGCCTGCTTTCCACCACCACCACCACCATGAGTTGGAGGAGGGGGGAAGGAGGTGGAGGACCAGGAGGAGGAGGAGGAGGAGGAGGAGGAGGAGGAGGAGGAGGAGGAGGAGGAGGAGGGGGAGGGGAGGAGGAGGCGGAGGAGAGGAGGAGGAGAAGAGGAGGAGGAGGAGGAGGAGGAGGAGGAGGAGGAGGAGGGGAGGAGGAAGGAGGAGGAGGAGGAGAGGAGGGGGAGGGGAGGAGGAGAGGAAGGAGGAGGAGGAGGAGTAGGAGGAGGAGGAGGAGGAGGACGAGGAGGAGAAGGAGGAGGAGGAGGTGGAGGAGGGCTCCCTCCCCCTCCAACTTATGGTGGTGGTGGTGGTGGTGGTGGAAGACGGGCCCATCAATGGAGCCCCCCCCGTTGAGCAACGCCCGACGAAGCCTCCCGCCGCGTTTTTTGTTGTTGTTGTTCTGCCTTCACGGCGCGAGGCTCACGAGCCGACAGCTGGCATTTGTGCCCCTGCGCCCCTGGGACGTCTCCTCGTGGTGGGCTTCCGTGGAGGCTACGGGCGTGTGCTGTCGGATGTGGGTCCCCGCTCGAACGGGAGTGTCCCTCGGGGTGCGGCAACCCGCACCCGCTTGCCCTTCCCCGTTCCTTCTCCCTGCAGGTTTCAGTGCTGTTCCTTCCCTGGTCCGATGGCCGCCTCCCGACTCCCGCTCGCTGTTCGGGTAAGCCTGTGCTCTGGCACACGCGCACAACATTTCAAGCTCTGAGCGTGCTCCGCCACTCGCGGCTCCCTCCCCCCCTCGCGCCTCTCCCGCTCCTGCTGTGCCCAATTGGGCCCCGTAGTGCCCCTCGGTTACCCCGATCGCGTCTTTTGCTTCCAGCTGCGCGACTCACGACGTGCATTGTTCTTTCATCAGGGGAGGCCTGGGAGGAGGAGGACGAGGAGGAGGAGGAGGACGAAGAGGAGGAGGAGGAGGAGGAGGAGGAGGAGGAGGAGGAGGAGGATGAAGAAGAGCGAGGAATATTACTACTACTACTACTACTACTACTACTACTACTACTACTACTACTATTACTGCTACTACTACTGCTACTACGACTACTACTACTACTACTACTACTACTACTACTACCGCTACTACTACTACTACTACTACTATTACTACTATACTATTACTACTACTACTGCTACTGCTACTTGCTACTTGCTACTTACTACTACTACTACACTACTACTACTATACTACTACTACTACTACTACTACTACTACTACTAGTCTACTACTACTACTTACTACTAATTGATTAATAATTAATACTAATCTATAATCAATTGCTTTAATAACATACACACGAATCATAAGAACGAAGACCGAGGAGTGAGGAGGTAGGAGGAGGATGAGGAGGAGGAGGAGGAGGAGGAGGAGGAGCGAGGAGGAGGAGCGAGAAGGAGGAGGAGCGAGGAGGAGGGAGGAAGGAGGAGGAGGAGCGAGGAGGAGGAGGAGGAGGTGGATGAGGACGAGGACGAGGAGGAGGAGGATACATAATAATATTACTACTATGAAGAACAATACTAGTACGAATGCTAATAATCCGAAGACTAAGCGCAATACTATGAACACGAATGCTAAGACTACTAATACTAGCATTCAGAAGAGTAATCGTAATCATAAGAAGACTACCAATGATACTAGTAGTAGTAGTAGTAGTAGTAGTAGTAATAATAATAATACTAATATTAATAAAAATAGTAACGCTAGTAATAAGAACCACGAGCAATCGTAATCAGAAGAAGATTCATACGAATACTATGAGTACTAAGCAGACTAAGGCGAAGACTACTAATCATGATAAGACGCATACGAGCAATACTAATGCTTCGTAATAACAGGACTCATGAGACGAATACGAGTTATACTAATACGACGAAGAACGCTACGACGAAGGATCACAACACGAACAATAAGACTGATACTAAGAACACTCATAACAGCCATAAGGTCTATACTAATAATAAGAATCATAACACGGCTACTACTCATACTACTGTTGCTAAGACGAAGAATAATAATGATACCACTCAGAAGAGGAGGATGAGGAGGATGATGATGATGATGATGATGATGAGGAGGAGGAGGAGGAGGAGGGGGGAGGGTTTCTGAAGTCTTCAGGGGCTTGCAGGGAGTCCCGCGAAACTTCCGAGGTTGCGAGGGGTGGGGGCGGTCCTCCTTCTTGGCCCCCGTGCAGGGGGCACCGTTCGGGGCACAGCTAGGGCCAGCCGGCCACCCCGTGCCAGCTCGGCCCGGGCGGCCGTGCCAGGCCCGCGCGCCCGGGGCCTGTTGAGGTTTTCACCCTCTTGTCCTCACATCCTGTGGCGGATAGGCAGCTCAGGGGCAACGATAGGGGGGGACTCCTCCTCCTCCTCCTCCTCCTCCTCCTCCTCCCTCTGGTTTTGCTCCTCTTCCTCGCTCCTCCTCGCTCCTCCTCCGCTCTCCTCCTCCTCCTCCTCCTTACTCCTCCCCCTCCTCCCCCTCCTCCTCCTCCTCCCCCCTCCTCCTCTCCTCCTCCTCCTCCTCCTCCTCCTCCTCCTCCTCCTCCAAGGGGGGGTGCATCGACCCCCAATCGCCCATTGATCGCCGATAGGGGCCCGACGGCCTCAACCTGCCCAGTAGCATGCGGATTCAGCCTCGGCGGCCTATCGCCGATCCATCGGCGACGGATCGCCGATTCCGGGTCGATGTTCTTCCCCCCCTTCCGCCCGTCCCCCCCCGATCGTTGCCTCCCAACAGCTGCCTCCTATCGAAGGACAAAGCCTTTGATGCTTCGCTGCAGGCTTTTTCAAGGCCCCCTGCCGCGCAGCTCTCGGCTGCCGGCGGCCAGGGGCCACGCAGGGAGGGGGCGGGGGCCGCGGGCTGAGCCACTAGCGGTGGCCGCCCGCGAGCCTCGCTCGGGGAGGGGTGCTCTGGACGATAGAGGGAGCAGGGCTGGGGAGGGGGGGAGTTCAAGAATATGAAGATGAAGATGAATATTGATATGATGATGGCGAATAAGATGATGCTGCTGCTGATGATGATGACGATGGTGGTGGTAATTGTGATGATGGTGATGATGGTGATGCTGATGCTGATGCTGATGCTGGTGATGCTGATGATGTTTATGATGATTATGCTGATGATGATGCTGATGCTGCTGCTGCTTCTGATGATGATGCGGATGATGTTGCTGGTGATGTTGATGATGCTGATGATGATGATGATGATGGTGACGCTGATGATGATGAGGATGCTGATGCTGATGATGATGGTGATGATGATGCTGATGCGGATGCTGATGCTGATCATTATGCTGATGATGATGGTGCTAATGTGGATGCTGCTACTGCTGCTGATGATGATTATGCGGATGCTGCTGTTGATGATGACGATGATGATGGTGATGACGCTGACGCTGATGCTGATGATGATGCTGATGAGGCTGCTGCTGCTGCTGCTGATGATTATGCTGATGATGCTGCTGATGATGAAATGATGATGTTGATGATGCTGATGATGATGACGATGCTGATGGTGATGCTGATGATGATGCTGATGCTGATGACGATGCTGCTGCGGATGCTGCTGCTGATGATGATAATGACGATGACGATGATGACGATGCTGATGATGATGACGCCGATGCTGATGATGATGATGAGTATGATACTGATGATGCTGATGCTGCTGCTGATGCTGCTGATGATGCTGCTGCTGATGATGATAATGATGCTGCTGCTGCTGATGATGATGATGATGATGCTGATGATGATGATGATGATGGCGATGACGATGATGATGATTCTGATGATGCTGATGATGAGATAGTGAATGGTGCTGGCTTTGATGAGATTTGATGATGTGATTCTGATGACTGATGATGCTGCTGGATGATGATGATGACGCTGATGACGTGCTGATGATGATGATGATCATGAATGATGATGCTGATGCTGATGATGGATGATGATGGTTGGTGATGATGCTGATGCTGTTGTGATGATGATGATGCTGATGATGTTGATGATGATGATGCTGATGATGATGTTGATGATGATGATGATGCTGATGATGATGTTGATGATTAATGATGATGTTGATGCTGATGATGACGCTGATGCTGATGATGATGACGATGAGGATGATGATGATGATGATGATGATGATGATGATGATGATGATGATAGATGATGATGATGATGATGATGATGATGATGATGATGATGATGATGATGATGATGATGATGATGATGATGATGATGATGATGATGATGATGATGAACGCGTCTAAAGAGGTCAGGAGCTCCCAGCTCGTACTGCCCCTCGGACCGAGGCGTTTCCCTATGGCCCTGCGGAGGCACCGCCGCACGGTCTCGTGCCCAAGACACACACGCAGATTCGCCTGAGTGCCGAGAAGCCGCCTCCCGCCCCAGCCGAAGCGAGCGGAACACGACACCCGAGCAGTCACGGCGATTCAGCCCGCGACGCCTGCGAGCTGGTACGGGGCCTCGAGTGGGACCCCCAGGAGGATGCTGGCCGCTGCGAGGGCGGTCCGAGAGGCGGCCCCCGCCTCCAGGAGCTCGCGCGCAGACAGGAAGCCTGTGCCGCCGCCAAGGCCGCCGCACTCCGACCAGTCCTCGCACACGCTCACTTCCGCGCCCAGGCCCAGGTCGACCTCGCGCTTGTGCTGGCCCTTCGGTTCCTCCAGCCCGCCCTCGAAGAAGCCCCCGTCCTCGTCCAGGTCCAGGCCGAACTTGCGCTTGTGCTTGCCCTTCTGTTCCTCCAGCGCCTGGGAGGGGGCGCTCGGCTCAGGGGACTCGACCACCCACGCGTCCGTGGCCCTGAGCGGAGGCTGAGCTCGGTCGAGGGAAACGCCCACCCGCACGTCTGCGGCCTCGTCCGCTGGGAGGGGGCCCTCATCCCCGGGGCTTCGCCCACCCACGCGTCCGTGGCCCTGGAATGGGGCTGAGCTCGGTCAAGGGCTTCGGCCACCCGCACGTCTGCGGCCTTGCTCCAGAGCTCCCCCCCCATTCTGGGTCTGCCCAGCAGCGCGCTCCCCAAGGACGTCTCCGCGCCCCGACGCCGACGAGGGGCCTCTCTCCCCTGGGGCTTCGGCCACCCGCGCATCCGCGGCCCAGGGTGGAGGCTGGACCTGGTCAAGGGCTTCGGCCACCCGCATGTCTGCGGCCTCGCACCAAGGTCCGTTGCCCTCCTTTAGGGTCTGCCCCTGTCTGGGCTCCCCAAGGACCGCTGCTGGCCCCAGTAGAAGGAGGCGCTTTCGCAGGCGCCTGAGCTCCCTAGGCAACCGCACCCGCGGCCAGCCATCCAGAGGCTCCAGCTGCTCGCTGCCGTCCTCCGCGATAGCGTCGACGTAGTCCCTGAAGCTCACGGCGACTGCCGCGAGGTGGCGCCGCGCCCGCGCAGCTCGGACACCCCCATCTCGGCCGACTCCTTCAGGCGCCAGGTCGGGCGTAACAGCACCAAGGAGGCCGGCAGGAAAAAGGGAGGGCGCCTCCGCCCGCATCGCCCCATCGGCAGCCTCCTCGGCCTTGCGCCTGGGCGCCGCGCGCCCCTCCAGCCGGGGCCCCCGCTGGGCACATCGCAGCTCCACCGCTCCCGCCGCCACGATGTCCACGCCCTGCGCCTCCGCGTGGAGGGCGACATTAAGCCGCAGGCGCTCGAGACATGTGGGGGATCTACCCCAAAGCTTGGCCTGCAGCGCGGGGAGCATCGCCTGCAGTCGCTGCCCAACCTCGCCGTCGCCGATGACGGCGCACAGGGCCTCCTCCGCGGCCTCCAGGCGAAATCGGGTCTTGGCCAGCTCGCCCGAGAGCCGCCTGACGGCATTATCGGCGGACCACTTCGCCCACTCTCGGCCTGCCCTGCGCTGGGCCGCCGATCGCCTTGGCGCGCACTCCGCGCCATCCCGTGCCACCATCGCTCCGTGAGCCAAGAGCCCTGCCCCCCCAAGGCCTCAGAGGGACAAGGTCCAGGAGCAGGGGGCCTACGGAAAAGGCCTGAGCCAAAATGGCTACAGATGATGCTGATGATGCTGATGCTGCTGCTGCTGCTGCTGATGATGATGATGATGACGCTGATGATGCTGATGCTGATGATGATGCTAATGCTGATGCTGCTGATGATGATGATGATGATGATGATGATGATGCTGATGACGATGATGATGATGATGATGGATGATGATGATGATGATGATGATGATGATGATGATGATGATGCTGATGATGCTGATGATGCTGCTGCTGCTGCTGATGATGATGATGCTGATGCTGATGATGATGATGATGATGATGATGATGATGATGATGATGGTGGAGGTGGTGGTGGTGGTGGTGATGATGATGATGGTGATGGTGATGCTGATGCTGATGCTGTGATGATGAGATGAGGTGATGATGATGATGTGATGATGATGATGATGATGATGATGATGATGATGATGATGATGATGATGATGATGGATGATGATGATGATGATGATGATGATGATCGATGTGATGATGATGAGATGATGATGATGATGATGATGATGATGAGGATGAGGATGAGGATGAATCGAGGAGGAGGAGGAGGTAGGAGGAGGAGGAGGAGGAGCAGGAGGAGGAGGAGGAGGAGGAGGAGGAGGAGGAGGAGGAGGAGGAGGAGGAGGAGGAGGAAGAGGAGGAGGAGGAGAGGAGGAGGAGGAGAAGGAGGAGGAGGAGGAGGAGGAGGAGGAGGGGGGAGGAGAAAGAGGGAGAGACCCTCCCGAAGCTCGGTTATGGGTGGGTGTCTGGTGCTCCTGTGCAGACTTGCCCCTGGATGGGCGTCTTCGTCGGTTCCTGAGGGCCTGAGGGTTTCCTTGCTTCGGGTGTCGGGGGTCGAGGCCGTGGGGGGCTTTGGGGTCCTTTTCGGGCCCTGCTGGGCGGTCTCTGGGCTGTGTTGATCACCGCTCGCCAAACCACCCCAACCCAACCCGAAGGCCCCGATTTGCCTTCCACTTCCAGTGGGGGGGGGTCGGGGAACATTGAAAAAGCATGTGCGGAACCCGCGTAGGTTGGCTCCCGCACCCTGGGTCTGTGGCACCTTGAACAACCACGGCCCTGCTCCCGCATCCTGTTCGGTGGCACAACGTTGCACTTCGGCTCAGCGATGCTCCCTACCTTCCCTGGTCGTCGCCTCTTGGGTACAAGGCGAGTCCTCTCTTGCCGCCACTTGAGGCTGGTGTACGACGCGCCGTTGACGGCACCACCAACCACAGCATTTTGTTTCTTCCGGTACTTCGCCGCCGGGTTCCTGTCCAAGGCGTTCTTTTGCAACCACATCGTCTTCGGCACCGCCTGATTCCGGGGCTTTGCCCACTCCTGGCCTTGATGTGAGGCCCCTCCTTCTGCCCCCCTCTCGTTAATTCAAGCTGTGCGTGGCCCGCTTAGCTTCGACCGGAAGAGGTGCGCTCTCGACCCGCGGATCAAACAAGTGTGGAACCCGTACCCCGCCCGACCCGAAATTCGGGTCTTCGGGTCAGGTTGGGGTGGCTTGGCAGGCAGTCGCTTGAGGCCATCACAGCTGGATCCGGGACGCGAAGGTACTCCCGGGGGCAGGGCCGAACCTGTGCGGCCATGGGCGAAGCAAGTCGTGCCCGCGGGTGTCAGGGGGCAGCTCCACGATCGAGGCGGTTCCAAGAGAGAAGCGCCAGGCAAGCCAGGGGTTCGAGGTGGTCCCACGCGCTGCCTGCAATTTGAGGCGGAGGGCGCCAGCTGACCACCTCACCTACGGCACAGTCAGAGCCAGCGTGAGGGAATGGGACGATATCGCAAGGGCTCCTTGCGTCCTTCGGTTCTGGCCATCCTTGGTTCTCGGGCCGGTCAAGGGGCCTTGCGTCCTTCAGCTCCATCCGTACCGCCGGCTGTGACCGCAAGTTCGCGTCGTCCCAACGCGTCGGCGACCCCGGCGCGGACGTTCAAGGTGGAACGCCGGCAGCGGCCAAATGCCGGCCGACGTTGGACGATCTGCGCTATCGGGAAGCGGCGATCGTTCGAGCTCGACTCAGCCACGCGCAGAGGGGGGTAGGGGGAGAGGGGGAGGCTTCTTAAGAGCATCCTTGCTTTTCAGAAAACGCGGACCTTGTCTATGGATGTAAGGCCCGCGCCTTCTGAGAAGCAGCCCCAGACATGCGACGCTCTGATTTTTTCAGGACGGCGTCCCTGGAAGTCCCGACCCCTTCCCCGGGACCGGTCTTTCGCCCCGCGTCGCTCTCGACGGCCCCGAGGCCCCGCGAGGGCCCCCCGGGGCCGAAAGTAGCCAAAAACCTCCCGCCCTGTTTTTTTTTTGCTGGTATATATATACATACATACATACATACATACATATATATTAATAATAGTAATATTAATTTTGCCAATAGTAATAACAATAAAAGTACTACTCATACTACTAATAATAATACGAATAATAATAACAATAATAATAATACTAATAATAATACTAAGAATACTAATGCTAATACTACTAATAATAGTCGAATGCTAATAATACTATTAATAGTAATAATAAGAATAACAACAACAATAACAACAATCATAATAATACTAACAGTATTAATAGTACTATTAAAAATAATAATACTCATAATAAAAAGAATCATAATCACAATCGTAATAATAATAATGTTTATAATAATAATAATAATAACCATAATAATATTAATAATACTAATAATAATCATAATAATCACAATACTAATACTAACAATAACAATAATACTACTACTAATAATAATAGTACGAATAGTAATAATATCAATAATAATAATAGTAATAATAATGATACTAATAATCGTAATAATAATAATACTAATAATACTACTACTAATAATAATAATGATAATAATACTAATAAAAATAAATAATAATAATAATAATAATAATAATAATAATAATAATAATAATAATAATAATAATAATAATAATAATAATAATAATAATAATAATAATACTAATAATATTAATAATAATAGTAATACTAGTAATAATGATAATAATAATAATACTAATAATACTAATAATAATAATAATAGTAATAATAATAATAAGAATATTAATAATCATAATAATAATGCAAACATTAAAAAAAAAAAAAACGACGCGATCCTTTCTGGGGGAAGCAGCCTCCCCTCAAGCAGGCCTCCCCCCCCCCCCCCGAAACCCCCCTCTTCTGCGTGCCGCCCGTCGAGCCCTCCCCACGTGGTGCCCGGAGCCCGCGCGCGGGCCGCCACGGCATGAGCCAGGCCGCCTCTCTCGGCCGCGCCTCCCTATAAGGGCCTGTGTCGACTCTTCGCCGATCGACTCGCGGGGAGCGAGCCAGATCAATCCAGTCCGACGAAGGCATCAAAACACCACCACCGTGCCAGGCCAGGCCCTGGCCTGGCACGGTGGTGGTGTATAGATGCTTTCTGCGTATCCAGGTCAATGCAGACACATCGGGGCAAAGCCAGGCAAATCCAGGCAGATCGAGATGGATCTGGGCAAATTCACAAAAAGATCTCCGGGGGAAGAGTTGGAGCCATTCGCGGCCGCTCCAAGCGCGAGTCGAAGGACGGCAGAGGTCGTGGAGCCTGCCACGAACGCCCACCCGGGGGCCCAGGATCCCAGAGCCCCTCGCGCGGGGAGCAGAAGCCACGACGAGGGAGTTCTCTCGCTACGTTGCCGGCCTCCGTGGGCCCCTCTTCCCCGGGCCTCGGGGGCCGCCCAGAAACGGCTCGGGGTGGAGCACCGCTCCCGAGGATCGGGGGCGGAAAAGAGGTGGGTGATGACTAAGGGGGGTGGATATCATGGCGGGGGCCATGATATTTTCCCAGATTTCATGGCGCCCCTTCTTATTTTATTACGTCCCCGCCCCCCCCCCTGGGCCGCGCACATGCCGCCAGTCATGATTTGCACCCCCCCCTCTTGGACACCCCCTCTTGGCCGCTCCCGAGAGGAAGGGCTCCAGACCTCTGGGGGCCGACGCTGTGAGAACATCGTGACGTCGGGGGTCCAGGATCGGCTCGGGCGGGCACCGATGGGGGCGGCCCAAATGGGGGGTGAAGAAACGGGCCCTAAAGTTGAGTCGGGCCTGTCCCTCTACAGGAGGGATATGCAAACACAGAAGTAGTCGAGGGATTTTTTGAAAAGTGTTTTCTGACTATTTTAGGGCATGCTTGGACTATTCCTAATTTTCCCTCCGAGATCTGCCTGTGTAGGAGGACAGGCCCGACTCAACCCTGCAGGGGCCCTCTCGGGCTCCACGTGGGCCACCCCGCATTCGTGCCCGCCCGATCGGCGGCTCGGGTCATCAGGAGGGGAAAAACCACCCAGACACAATTCATCGTCAATTCCACATACAATATGCGAAAATTTCGGAAGTGGGGGGGGAGGCAACAACCCAGAACATATGGACAAATATGGGGCATCTTTCTATTCGTGTGTACTTATTCGTGTGTCCCAGGGCCCCTTCAGGTCAGCCTGGCGCCCCCCCGCCGGGAGGGCCGCCTCTGCGCGCTCCTGCCGGGTGCCCCACTGGCGTGCCGCCAGACACAGCTGTTCAGGCTCCCCGCCGGCGGCGGGGCCGCCGGCCCGGCGCCCCCCCGCCGGGCGGGGCCCCACGTCGAGTGGGTCCTCCCGCGGCGCGTCCCTCGGCCCGCTCTCCCCCGGCCCCGCTGCGCTCCCGCCTCCCCTGGCTTCTGGCTCCTCCTCCTCCTCCTCGGCTCTCCTGCCTCCTCCCTCCTCTCGGGGCGCATTTCGTCTCCTCCGCCTCGATTCGCTTCGAGCTCGATGCGCTCCGATTCCGCTTTGGTTCGATTTCGGATTCCGCTGTGGGCTCCGGCGTCCAAAGGAGGCCTACCACTAGCCGGCCTGCCGAGTTCCGCCGATTCGACTTCTCCCGACTTGGCTTGCCGATTTC